ACTGTAGCTTCTTCCTGTTGTTATGCACCTTTGCAGCATAAGGATGGTTTGTTTCAGGACCCTGTTAATGAAGGCTCTTCTCATAGACTACATCAGAATGAACCTGGAGAAAAAAGGACAGGACCTCAAAAGGAACATCAACTTGAAAGCTGAACAGAGGGAACTGTGAGTCTGCAGTAACTCACATTTCTAACGCTGACACGTGCAGTAAAAAAGATTAGGTGTGTGGTTTCTTCGGTGCTTAGAATTACTGGAATGCGTTCCACTGAACTGGCTTTCTGGCATTTACCCCAGTTACGTAGCTATGCCGTTTATAGAAGGTCTAATTCAGGACTCTGTAACCATGTGACATCTTGGGTGAGCCAGTGCTTCCTCCTGTGCCTCAGTTTCCCCATCTGCAGACCAGTGATAATGCCAACTAATTACCACCTAGGGAAGTATGAGCATTCATGGAATATTTTAAAGAGAGATGAGATACTTCAGGTAACACTGGGACACAAAATGTTGTTATTCTGCTTCACATTAATTGTCATGCACTGCATATTAGACCTTTTCATTGGGAGACTTTAAAAAATTATAAAGAAGCCTCAGTAAGGATTTCTGTAATGTTGGAAAATGAATGATGCAATGGAATTAATTGTCTGGGTTCTTTACTTTCTAGATCTCAGCTTATTGGTTTGCCCATGTGCACAATGGGCTTGCAAACTTGATTCATTTAACAATATTTATATAGGTTTCCCTCACTTTATGTTGTACATGTGTTCCTGAAAAATGGCACATAACTTGAATTTGCATAAAGGGTACCCACTTTACAACGTAACAAATAGGGATATGTTCCAAGACCTCGACTATACTGATCCCCAGACCCATTTCTACCACTTTTACAAGACAATTTTGGTACTCACCAACAGCAGACAGTACACACCAGCACAGGGAGAGGGGTAGGAGATAAGCTAGCGGGACGCTTAGAAGCCATAATGGGGATAGCAACTACAGAAATGCGTGTCGCAGACAATGAGCGAGGAGCATAGATCCACACAGGTGCGCATCACTCTTACACGGCACCACACAAAGCAGGTAACTGCAGGCACCCACCACACCAATTGCATAAGAGTGATTTTACCTCGCATAGAACGGATTTTTGGTATAAAAAGGGTCATTGCATAAGGGCAAATTCGCACCTACAGAACCTGCACAAAGTGATGGAAACCTGTATTGCATTGCATGAAAAGAGGCCACCTTTGGAAATGAAACTGTAGGCACTCAGTTGAGTGGATGCCGACCTCGACGCTTGAACTAGGTCAGACCGTGGCTCCAATTCTGCAAAGACCGTGTTTAATTCTATGCACTGGTCTCACTGAAGGGAATGGGACTCCTCACCAGACATGGAGTGGAGCACGCACGTACATCTCTCCAGGGCTGGGTGCTTTGCAAGGAGTATGTAGCCCAGGGGCGGGCAATTATTTCAGGCAGAGGGCTACTTACTGAGTTTTGGCAAGCCTTCAAAGGCTGCTTGACAGGCAGCCAGGGGCAGATAAATATTGATTTTCTAAATTTGTTAGGGGTCCCGCAAGCCAGATAGAATGGCCTGGCAGGCCGTATCCAGCCCACAAGCCACATTTTGCCCACTCCTGGTGTAGCCAGAAGACATTTGCATCTGCTGAAGTCACCGTCTATCATTGCACATACACTCGTCAAGAGGAAACTCAACTCTTTAGACTCTCGTCACATAATTGCCCGTTATGAGCTCTTCTGGGCTTCCTCTGAAGCCTCTGGTGCAAGCCAGGCTAGCAGATTGATTAGGCACGCCTGATTCCTACATTGTCTCTATTGGATTTTAAACTCCTTGAGGAAGGGACTTGTTTATCCATTTCCTTCAGTGTTTGCATTGTGTTTGGTACACATACAGCTCTGTACAAATAATAAATACTAACAACTCTGCATCCTAGTTCTCACGTCCTTTGTGGCAGAGAAAAACAGGTTCTGATAAACAAAGAGTGATTTATTTCTTTGCTTTTTTTTTTCTTTTTTAAATAAAGAGTTCTGGGCACAGATGGACATGACTGCGGTCCACCCAGCACGAGTGGGTTGGGCATCAGAGCCGTTGGGTCCCTGATGCCCGACCGGAGCTGACTGTCCTGAAAGCTTTGCTGGTAAAACGAAATCAGGACAGGGGGATTTGGACCAAGCGAGGATTCCTCAAGGCGACGTGGAAGCACCATAAGGTCACACAAAGACACGGCGTTGTGGCATCATGTTGTGCGGCGCTGATAAGGACTCGACGCGTTGCAATGTCACGCGTGGGAAACAGCGCCATTTCGAAAGGGAGCCGTGGCCTGGAGCTGCTTCAGCGATGTTTCACGATGAGGCCGCGCTGTGATGATGCGGTGTCCCATGTTCGACGGCTGCCTGGTGACGCAGTGACACAGTGATGATGTCATAACAGGTGACATTGTTCCTTATGATGCCAAGGCAGGCACTCTGCTCTCATTTCCTGCCATGCTCTGCTTGGCGTATCAGCCTGCAGCATCTTTAGCCCCAGCTGTACCCTTCTGTTGCACTATGGAGGCGCGGAGGGCAGCTTGCTCTGAGGCGCATAGCTGAGGAGAAGCAGGTGGCTGGTAGTCACCCTTGAGCCCCTGGATGTGTCCAAGCCCCCGGAGCCGCTCCTTGCCATAGCATTCTCCCACAGTCACGTTCAAAAGGCTGAGCTAGTCTTTCAGGGCCAACTCCCACCTCCTCCCGTCCCTTTACAACCAGCCTGTATCTTTCATGAGGTAAAACTCTCGCCCTTCTCCAATATGGCTCACTTTAGCCTCACTCAAGCAAGTACCTGCTGCCCCTATCCAAGATGGCTGCCCGGCGGAGCGCAAATTGGGCCCTTTTTTTTAATCCCTTCTCCAAGATGGCTGCCCGGGACTCGGTCCCTTTACCTTTACCTGAGAGCCCCTCGCCTGACGCCTTGCCGGCCATCTTGGATGAGGTCAGGCGGCCCAGGTATTGCAGCCGGGCGTTTCCCGGGATGCCTCGCGCGTCCCCACCCCCCCGGAAGAAGGAGGCCTGGCGGTTGTTGACAACATGGCGGCGGCAGGCGGCTCCGCGGCAGGACGAGGAGGGAGAGAAGGTGGCAGGAGGAGGAAGGAGTCTCGCTCGTAGGGAGCCCCACTCGCTGCCTCCCCGCTCCGCGGCGCCATGTCCTTCTTCAGGCGGAAAGGTAGCCGGGGGGGTCGGCCTCCCGCTGCCTGCCCCACGCGCGGGGGCGGCTCCTGCCGCTTCGGGGAGCCGCCAGAGCCATCTCGCCCCCCTCCTCGCGCGCGTCTCCAAGGGCGGGTTGTATCCAGGAACCTTTGGGAAAGCATTTCCACAAGGCCCTGGTTCTCTGCCAGCCTGCTGTGGCACCCCAGGGTGCTCCCAGGTCCTTTTTGGGTTGTCCCCAGGGTGCCTTGAGGTCCTTTTCAAGTTGTCCCCAGGCTGCTGGGGCACCCCGGGGTGCTCCAAGGCCCTTACCAGGGTGCTGCATGGTGTTGGCAGGGTTAGGTGGATGAATGAAAGTCACACGGTAAACCAGGAGGTTTCCAGGAGGAATCCGCAGTCTTTAAAGCATTAGTTCTGGCCTGCTGTGGTCCTTGTGGGACCTTTGCAACAGAGGCATCGCTGTACTCTTTATTTTTTTTATTTTTTTTTTTCCTGTAATCGAAAAAACAAGCAAAAACAAAAGGCTGGCGTTTTCTTAGATGCGCCGGGAGCCTTATCAGGGGGCCACCAGGAGTCTCAAAATGTTGAGCAGCACTGGGCTAAGAGCTTTGAGATGGTTAACAACCGCATGTTGTATGCAACTCATTTTCTTGCTGGTTAGATAAGTGCAAGTGACGTTTTTGCATGAATCCGCCTAATCCTGCGAGCCTTCCCCTTAAACTGGCCAAATGAAGGTAATAGGTAAAGTTAGTACTGTCATGGCATAGTAAAACATTTTTTTGTTAAGCATGTGGTAGTGGTAGCCACAGTCAAGACCTTATTGTACTCAGAGCTATATAAAAGTGCAGGCAGCGCTTGCCTGAAATAAATTTTTAATTTTTCAACTGTATTTATAGAAATTGCATAGCATTAAAAAAAAGAAGTTTCCTAATTAGCCTTTTGGTACAATGAGTACAATTAATTCTGGAGTCATTTGGAAGCTGGTCACCATGTGCATGTGCAAAGATTCAAGGAAATGCATATTAACTTCTGAAGAGCCGCATGCAGCTCCAGAGCCGCAGGTTGGCCGCCCTGGTTTAGATTCTGTGGCTGAATTGGCATGAAATGGTCCACTGAAGCACGATGGCCTTACATAACAAGACGCTGAATTCTTCAGTTCATAGTCTGCCTCTGGAAAAGTCATGTCAGCCAAGAAATGAAAGTAAACTGTGCTGAGTTACAGAAGAATGAAGTTAAGAAACACCCACACAAACTTTGATTAGGAGTGCAAACAAAAAGTAGCAAAATTTGAAATGTGTGGCAGATATTTTGGGTTAGGCAGTGAAGAACTGTTCTCCTGTATTTATCGCTTGTAAATGAAATGCTAGTAAATATGCTTTATCTGCTGTTAGAAATGAAGATACTTAAATGTTTTTTCCCATGCCAGTAGTGTTGAGCACTAAAGCATGAACCCAGAAAGTGTGGAGAGCTTTCAAGTCCTTCTGGGACCTTTGTTAGGTACTTCATAAACTTGTTCGTGTTCATCCACTTCTCAAATCAGACTACTGGACAATACTTGAATGTTGCGGTGTCCCATGCTTTAGTCTTCTGGTTTGAAGTTGATGACACTGCTTCCCATGTCTGATCTGGAAAAGTTATGATAAAACAATTGCAACAAAAAAGGCATGTCATATAAATGGCAAACAACTGGAACGTAAAGAATACAGTTGGGTAAATATGTAAAAGACATACTAAAAAAAATGCAAGGTTTTAGAGCCAAATATTTTTTCCCCCTTGGGGGGGGGGGGGG